AGAGGAGGCCACACCACCAGATCCTGGCAGCCTGGTCCAAGGTCACCAACTGGGAAAGTGCAGTCTCCACAGTCCAGAGGAATGCCCAGCAGTGCCGCAAGAAGGTCAATGACCTTCTTTGCTCCACCATGGTAGGTGTCACACTGTTCTGTCAGGTGCCTCACACTCACTGTATCTCTGCTATTGCACCCGCATCCCACCAAGGCTCATGCTCTACCACTCTCACTGTTGCCTGCAACATCTTCCCTCACTTGCTCTCATTTCCCCAACATTCCAGACCACTAACCCTACAAGGCCTCTGCAGTGCCTACACACTCGCCTGGACACCTCATCACCTTTTGACCACCTGCACCAAGATGAACAGCCATGCCAACCCCCTTCATCTCACTCAGTCTCTCCCTTTCCCTCGTTCCGGGAGAAGGCAGCACACAATTGGGCAGCTAGAGCCCAGATGAGAAGAGGGGTGCCCCATGTCAAGAATCCTGCCCCCCACTGGAGAAGACTGGGATGGATCCTGCGGGGATTCCAAGACACCATGTCCTGCCAACTGAGTAAGTTCCATTCTTCATTCCAGTGTAATTCTGATACTGACCTCAGCGTCAGGGTCATCAATTGAACACCACTTCTAACCATTGGCCGCAATGCCTTTTCTGTCTTGTATCTTAACAGGTAACTGTGGGATGTCCACAAGACCGGTGAAGAAACTGCCTGCTCTGTTACCCTTCCCCTCTCCCTGAGCTCTAAGAAAGCGAGTACCAAGGCCTCACAGAAAACATAGGCAAGGCTGCCTCCTGCACCTCCCACAAGCTCAGATACTGACTCTTCAGTTGGAATGTCACACTTAAAAAGTTTGGGAACACAATCTTGTGAGCACTTCACGGTGACAGTTCCACAAATGGCCGTGGAAGAAACAAGTCCAGGCCCCTGACACCCAGAGGACTGCTGGAGTCCAGACACCTGCTCAGCCCCAGGCAAGAAAAGACCCTGTGGCGTCAGCAATCAACGACTTCATCCCACACACGGGGAGGAACAAGAGTAGCACACTATTGTGGGAGGCCATGTCTGTCATAGCCCTGAGACTGCAGAAGTACAGTTATGCTATGGGCACCCAAGTACCTCAAATAAGCAATCATCTGGCTGCCTGATGACACAAAAATAAGAAGGGCGTCAAGTCGTGAGGATGACATAGGGAGACATTGAGTGAGATGAAAGTGGATGACAAAGAATCTGCAGAGATATATACAGAGGGGTTAAGCAAGCGGATTAAAGATTGGTAGCTGGAATTTAAAGTTAATGTGAGGTTATGCACTTTAGCAAGAAGAATAGAGGAGCTGAATGTTATTTAAATGTAGAAAGAATGCAGAAAGCTGCAGGACATCAGGATTTGGGAGTCCTCATGCATGAATCACAAAAAGCTAGCATTCAAGTTCAGCACGTAATAGGGAAGGCAAATGGAATGTTGGCCTTTATTTAAAGAGAGTGGAGTATAAAAGTAGAGAGTTTTTGCTCAAACTATATAATACAGTAGTCAGATCACAGCTGGAATGCTGCAAAGAGTTTTGGCCCTTTATCCAAGGAAAGATAGACTGGCATTTGAACATTGCAGAGAAAGTTCACTAGGCTGATCCCAGGTATGGAGAGACAGTCATATGAGGAGAAGTTGGGTAGGTTCAGCCTGTACTCATTAGAATTTAGAAGAATGAGAAGCAACTTTATTGAAACATACAAGATTCTTAGGACTTGACAGAGTCAATGCAGAAAGGTTGTTGCCTTCGTGCAAGATTCTAGGATCACAGGGCATAATCTCCGAATTAGGGAACCCCCAACTAAGACAGAGATGGGGTGAAATTCTTCTCCCAGACCATAATGAAGCTGTGGAATTCTTGACCGCAGAGGGCTGTTGAGGCTGGGTCATTAAGTATATTCAATGCTGAGACAAAGAGATTTTTAATCAATAAGGTTATGGGGAAATAGCAGGAACGTAGAGTTAATTGTTATCAGATAAGCCATGATCTCTTTGAATGGTGGAGCAGACTTGATGGGCTGAATGGCCTATTTCTACTCCTTTGTTTTATGGTTACTTGGGCAGGTTGACAACTGCCATGGAATGCCAGATTCAGTACTCTAAGGGTCTGCTGGAAAAGCACACACGCATGCACTTCATTTCCCCAGCCATTGGTCTTCATGTCTAAAGGTATGGCGACTGGAGTTGGTGAACCTGACATGCCCTTTAAGTGCCACCTCCTCACATGGAGACAGGGTGGTGCTAGGAGGCACCCAGCAGGAGAGGCCCTTCAGAAGTCTCCTCTCAGGACACTCCATAGGTGTTCGGGCCTTTTAGCTCCACCCTGCTGCCCTGCTCCAATCCTTGGATGTTGAAAGGGCCATCCAGACACAAATGTTCCGGGATCAGTTGACCCAATTTCCAAGGCCAATAGGCTCTACTGCCAAGCACTGGCCTCTGTGTGTTGCTGTTAATGTGAATGAAGCAGTGAGTGATGTCTGGGACGGGATGATGCACACCATACAGAAAGCCAATGCATTAGAATCACCAGGGATTAAGGAGTCTGCAGGTCTTGGTCCTGTACAATACATGGATCTATGTGCAATGTTCTTGCTTTTTAAAGATCTTAACATCCTGCAGCGCCCTCCTTCACAGGATGAAACTTTTCTTTCAGACTGTTAGCGTCAATTTCAAGCGTATATTAGGCGACAACGAATGCTGTTCGAGCAGCGGTTTCCAGCCTTCACCTCCACATGTCAGTGAGGACCCAGACATCCAGATGCCCTTCCTGACAGTTTTGCCCATAAAGCCCACAGATTTAGCATCTCCCCAAGTCCCCACTCAACTTGTCAACAGCAGCCATAAGACCATAGATATAGGAGCAGAATTAGACCATTCAGCTCATCGAGTCTGCTTCACCATTTGATCATTGCTGATGTGTTTCTCAATTCCATTCTCTTGCCATCTCCCTGTAACCCTTGATTCCCTAACTGATAAGAACCAATCTATCTATCTCTGCCTTAAAGACACTGAATGACTTGACCTCCACAGCCACCTGTGACAATGAGCTTCACAAATTCACCACACTCTGGCTGAAGAAATTCTTCCTCACCTCAGTTCCAAAGGGTGATCCCTTCACTCTGAGGCTGTGCCCTTGGGTCCTACTCTCTCCTACTAGTGGAAACATCTTCCACATATCTACTGTATCCAGGCAAGTCAGTATTCTGTAAGTTTCAATGAGATCCCCTCATCCTTCTATAATCCATCGAGTACAGATCCAGAGTCCTGAACCACTCCTCACATTAACTAGCCCTTCACCCCCAGGATCATTCTTATAAGCCTCCTCTGGACCCCATCCAAGGCCAACACATCCTTCCTTATTTATGGGGTCCAAACTGCTTACAATATTCCAAATGCTGTTGGACCAGAACTTTATACGGCCTTAACAGTACATCCCTACTATTATATTGTAGCCTTCTCAAAATGAGTGCTAACACTGCTTTTGCCTTCCTAACGGTCAACTAAACCTGCTCGTTAACCTTAAGAGAATCCCGAACTATAACTCTTAAGTCCTTTTGTGCTTTAGATTTCTGAACCCTTTCCCCAGTTTGAAAATCACTATGCTTCTATGTTTCCTAGCAAATGCAAAACCTCATATTTTCCTACATTGTATTCCACTGCCATTTCTTTGCTCACTCTCCTAGCCTATCCAAGTCTTTCTGCAACATCACTGCTTCCTGAACACTACCTGTCCCTCCATCTATCTTTGTGTAATCTGCAAACTTAGCGACAATGCCCTCTGTTTCTTTGTCCATGTCATTAAAATATTACGTGAATAGTTATGGTTCCAACACTGACCTCTGTGGAATCCCATTAGTAACCGGCTGCCATCCTGAAAATGACCCTTTATCCCCTACTGTTTGCCATCTGCCGATCAGCCAATCCTCTATCCGTGCCAATATCTTGCCCCTAACACCCCACGAGGTCTTTTCTTATTTGGTCAGGCTAAACAACCTATAACTTCCTGTCTTTTGTCTCTTTCCTTTCTTAAACAGGGATGTTATGTTAGCTACTTTCCAGTTCTCTTTACGACCCTCCCTGACTCCAGTGATTCCTGAAAGATCACCACCAATGCTTCTGTTTTCTCCTCAGCCTTCACCTACACTCCTCCCTTCACCCCCCAAACCCCTGGCGAATGAGGTGACCATGCTAGGTGTGTTCATACAGTTTTCCCCATTGAAGCCAGGGTGCTCCTGATCATGGAACAATCCCCCTCTTACATTACCCCATTCCCATCCATTCTTTGCTGCATTCTCCCTTACAGATATTGTTGTCCCTCTTCGCAATTGTTAACTTCCTGCCCTCCCAGCCTGCAACCTTTAATTCTCTGAACTGATTTCGTTTTCTCCGTAACCTCCCATTCTCCTAGTTTCTCTGGATGAAACTGTTATCAGACTGTGAGCAATCTAACTGGATAGCCCTGGATAAGAAGAGCCCAAATCCATGACCAAAGCCTTTATACATCCCCGACTGCATTGGTTCTACCCCTTTGGACTGGCCATATAGAGTCACAGGACTAACTGTGACTTCAGAGGCATTGAAACTCTTAGTAAGAACACTATGTCTTGATGCCTGACTGTGTCCAATACTGTAGATTGGTATTGGAGGCAGTCCCTGACTTTCTATGCTGGGACCCCTCACTGCCAAGTGCCTCTATTGACTTCAGTGAGGACAACACCCCTCAGATTTTCAGACACGGTTACTTGTTTGCTGCACATGCAGTTGTTGCTGTGTAAGCTCCTGGCACATGGGGCAGATGTGAAATTGACATAACAAGATGTCTGCATCCTTGACTGAGGACTGCTGACCAGCATGGCAAGCTATCTGGTGCGTGTCTGCACTGATAGGTGCAGCAAGGCAATGCTGAGATGCTACAAGCATTCAGATAGGCAATGAGTGAGCAAATGCTAACAGAGCAAGCAAGCAGCCCTGAGACACAGCCTGTTCCAGTTGTGAGTGGGGTGCTGGTGCCTGTCCCTGTACTTGCAGCAACTTTTCAATGCTTGTTGCTGGTGCACCCTGCAATGCAGGTCTGTGCTTCCTCATAATCTGCAAGTGGATTGGAGCAGTGCCATAGGGGTGGCAAATTTCAGATGCCAAAGTCTGTGACTGAGAGGTGCCTGCAGCTGACTCCGATTGATTGTGCCTTAAGATGCCGTGAGCAGCATAGAAACTCTCCACAGCCTGTAGTGGGCTGAAATCGTCAGATACCTATCCAGACTTCCATGTCAAGAAATCACAGCATCTAGTTTGTTTGTAATGGTTGGTAGGATATGAACCTGCATATTAATGAGGTGAGGAAGGGTCACCAAACCTGAAACATTAACTCTGTTTTTTCCTTCACAGATGCTGCCAGACCTGCTGGGCTTTTCCAGCCACTTTTGTTGTTAATGATGTACAGTTAATAACAAAATCAGAAGTTGCTGGAAAAGCTCAGCAGGTCTGGCAGCACCTGTGAAGACAAAATCATCGGATCCAGTGACCCTTCCACAGTACAGCATCCGCAGTTATTTTGGTTTTTAGTTTGTACAGTTAATAAGTTGGTAACAAGCAATAATTGTCCTTAATTGGCGTTCCATCAGTCTCCAGCAAGAATCTTGCCTCAGCACCCAGAAAGTGGTTTAAAAATGGAGCAAGTTTTCACTGGTGTTGGGATAGGCCTCACTGGACTTCCTGCTTAATTCTGTAACAGTTCTCACCATGTCCCACGTCGTTCCAGTTCTTGTAGAATTCTGATCATAATACCTAATGCATTGCCTTCATCTCTCCTTTCTGTTATTTCCTCAAAGAATTCAGTCAGATTGGTAAGACATGACTTTCCTTTTGAAACTATTATAATTTTCGTTTCTAGATGCACTTCTTTTTTATCTTTGAGTAAATATTCCATAATCTATGCAGCCCTCAACATTAAGCTATTCCCCTCCCCCCCCTTGTCTGCCTTCTGCAGGAACCGTTCCCTCCGGGACACCCTGGTCCACACTTCCTTCACCCCAACACCTACCCACAGCCCTACGGCACCTTCCCCTGTAACCGACGAAGGTGCAACACCTGCCCATTTACCTCCTCCATCCCCAGTACCCAAGGGCCCAAACATACCTTCCAGGTGAAGCAACACTTTACCTGCACTTCCCAGAATCTAGTCTACTGCATTCGTTGCTCGCAGTGTGGTCTCCTCTACATTGGGGAAACAAAGCGTAGACTTGGCGACCACTTCGCAGAACATCTACGTTCTGCTTGCACAAAAGACCCTGAACTACCTGTTGCCTGCCACTTCAACGTACCATCCTGCTCCCTGGCCAACATCTCTGTCTCTGGCTTGCACCAGTGTTCCAGCGAAGCCCAATGCAAGCTGGATGAACAACACCTCATTTTCCGCTTGGGGACCCTCCAGCCCTCCGGACTCAGTATCAAGTTAAATAATTTTAGGGCCTCTCCCATGTCCCAGCCCCCTACCCCACACACCAGGCTTTGTGACCACATAGCCTGCCATTTCACACCCCCTGTTGTTAGTCACTAACAGTCCCCATTAACAACTATTCACCCTCCCAGCCTGATGGTTAGCAACTCCTTTGTCTGTCCAACTGTCTTTCTCTCTCTTTGGGCTCTATCCTATCGTTTACTCCCCACCCCACCCTCCTCCCTATTTTCTGCAAATAAACTGACGTTTTCCCAGCCACCATCAGTAAATGTTTTAATATCTTTGTCGTGTGTTGAGACGTGTGCATTTATTATTTTTATCTTTTAGCAGCCCTATCCCCTCCATGTTTTCTTTTGTTGTTTGTATCTGTAGAATGTTTTTATTAGATGTTAATTTAAATTTGTAGTTTCACTTTGCCTTCTAGTTATTTTCCTTCTTTCTAAAGTTTTTTTTGTCATCTCCTCCTTTTTGACTGCGCACTCAATGGGCAAAATTTAATGGGTCCCCCTCCAGGGTTCAAGGGCGTGTGATCATGCAAGAAAATACAGGATGTCCATCTGTCCAATAAGATCTAGAGCAGGAAAGCTTTGCAAGTGGCCTTCCATCCCAGAAGCCAGTTGAGTCCTTTAAATGATGGACTGAGGGACTCGTCAACTAGAGAGGCTGGGCACCAAACTCCATCTCCTCTCCAATAGCAATCCCTGGTGAATCGATCACTGTGGTACTGGATGTAGCTACCATTCCTAGAAGTGACGCTGGTATTGGAGAACTGTCAGCCTTTGATGGAGCAGCGGCTCTCAAGGAAGGATTTCTGCCTACCGAGGGCTTATTCAGATGGGAAGCCTAATACAGCCCAGATAAATGCCCAATATTGCTGGGTCTCTGAGAGAAAAATGACACTGGTTTCACACTAATTTTTTCAAGTAGGTGAGATTTACTGCAGTAAATCTCAGCCAATGTGCACCGTTGAATTTGGTTGCACTTTATTCCTTATTTCTTTATTCATCCGTGGTGTTCTATTGCTGGCTATTTTTGTCTTACATTTTGGTGGAATGTATTTCTGTCACACACTATTGGTCACTGAAACGCCTCTCAGCTGCTGTATTTCTTTGTTTGTCAGTTGAACGTTCCTTTAATTTTCCCAAGTTTCATTCTCAACTTATTAAAGTAAACTTTTACCAATGTATTACTTTTGTCTTTGCCTTACTTATGCTATTCTCAATCTTATATTAAAGCTTTCAATTTCTTTTCCTAGAGTTCATAATATTTTTTGTGTATAAAGAGAATTTATTGGAATGAATGCATTCTTAATTCATATTTCGTTTATTAATGGCATTGCAAGCCAAATTACTACTAAAATAGTAATAAATTCTTCAAATTTCTTTGTCTTCTTTCTGTAGGCTATCCTGGATGTGATGGTGAACCTACAGTTTACTCTGGTTGAAACTTTGTGGAAGACATTTTGGCGATACAACACTTCCCAGTCCAGTGATGGCTCAGGGTTGTCAGTGTGAGTGATTGATAGAACATCTTGCAGGAGAAAAGTGAGGGTGGGAAAGAAATTGAAGTGAGCTATAGATAAGGTGGGGTGTGGGTGTTGCATTGGATTAATCAACTAAACCAGAGCTCTAATTCCAACAGAATGGCATTGTAGATATTTAAAAACTGTCAAGATATTTTGTCAGGAACCTCTTTAGCACTCAGAAAAGAAACTAACCAATTACATGGTCATTGATAATGACCCAAATTGTTGTTAACTCAATGTTTCCTTTTTGTAGTCATGATGAATCTGAGAAGCGCCTCCCTAAGTCATGCCTGGTTGTTCTCTGTAAGTATGAGCCATCTCTGAAGTGGACGAAATACTGTGATAACATGCTTTACCAAGGTCTGGTGGAGATCCTTATCCCAGATGTCTTACGACCTATCCCGAGTGAGTATTTCCAGTAGAGTTAAATAATGTTACAAGTACAGCTAGAACAGTTTTATGGATATATGTCTGGTAGTCATGTGCACTGTGGCACATTATCTACAGCTATTAACTGCAATTACTTGGTTTCCAGGTGCCTTGACTCAAGCAATTCGAAATTTTGCAAAAAGCTTGGAAAACTGGTTAACCAATGCTATGATGAACGTTCCTGAAGAAATGGTTCGTGTGAAGGTAAGATAAGTTTCTCAGTTCTGTAAATGTAAACTGATGCAAAGGGCAATGCACTGTAGCTTTAGGAGAGACAAATATAATCATGATCATATTCATTTTTTTTCAGTTTTATCTAATCAAAAGTTGATGACTTGATATCAATCACATTCAATACTGGCAAACTTGAAATCAGAAACACAGCTTGAAAGGTCAGGAGAAAAAAATGGCTGACATGAGGCAAATTTTACTGTGCCTAAGAACATGGATATTGAACATACACCAATAGTATGTATTTATACAGCATCTTTAACCTGGAAAAGCATCCCAGGACACTTTACAGAAGCATAATCAGACAAAAAAGCCTTAGAAGCAGATAGTAGGAGCAATAAGAAACTTCATCAAAAAGCTATGTTTTGAGGAGGGTCTGAAAAGATAGCTGACAGTTACAGTGATTGTAATGATGTCAGCTAGGTGGACCTCATACAATGTGAATTCCCTGACTGGGGCTGGTAATCTGGTCCAATCAGTGAGTTCTGGCTGACAGGTAAGAACAGGAATGTCAGACGTCCTGTTCACCCTGAGAGCTGGCTCTGAGGGAGCTGAATCAGTGTCAAGGTGTCTGCATATGTAAAGCAGATGACTTGGTGACGGGATACTAGCCTTTGTGGAGTTATTTCAGTGGGATTAATGATGTAACCATGCAAAAGCGCCTATTAGCTGAAGCCCAAATGGACTTCAAACAGGCACCACAACTGGCTTTGTCATTGGAAAATACGGCAAGTGGAGCATATGAGTAGCTGGGTATTCCCCTGGAATTGAACATTCTCACCAGTCCGACTGAGCTTGAGGAAACACCACTGGAATGGAGGTAATTGCACAGCCTCACTCCGGACATATCCTGAACAGAGGGACTCTAGGTCAGCGAAACTTCAAAACAAAGCCAAGCTTCAGCCAGAGTTAACAAGGTGCAGGGCTGGATGAACACAGCAGGGCAAGCAGCATCATAGGAGCAGGAAGGCTGACGTTTCGCGCCTAGACCCTTCATCAGAAAAATTCAGCCAAACGGTTAACATTTTCTTCAGGATTTGGGCCGGCAAGCCATTGTATTTGCTGCCGGTGTGCAGACTCGATTCAGCAAAATAGACCTACTAGACCTAAAGTGAGTAAGAAAATTCCTAGGCCGGTATCCAGGAGAGTGCAAACCCTGGAAAGTCCACCTACATCTGGTTTGGAACAGTTAAATTGCTTACCAACATCCTAATCAGAACCAGTCAAAATAAACATCTGGTTAAATGGTCACCCAGTTCAGATGGAGGTTGACAAGGGTCCAGCCATTTCAGTGATCGCAGAACCAGTCTTTAACAAAATGCGCTCTGGATGCCAATGCTTAAGTTTGTGCAAGACTTCAGCTAGACTGAGGACCTATACTGGGGAACCTTTTACAGAATAAGGGAACAATTTCGGTTCCAGTCTCTTAGGAGGAGCAGCTGGTTCAGTTGCCACTGATTGTCGTAAAAGGCACAGGCCCAAGCTTGTTGGGGTGAAATTAGTTGAGAAAAGTTCACCTAGATTGGCTCAACATTTTTCAATTAGAAAATGGCTGCCTAAGTGAAGTCCTAATTAAATACCCAGAAGTTTTTCAGGAAGGTCTAGAGATTATCAAAGAAGCCAAGGCCACTTTGCAAGTTGACCAGGAAGCATTCCACGACTCTACAAGACCTGCCCAGTGCCATTTGCCTCTCGGGCAAAAGTAGAAGTAGAAATCCAGAGGCTGAAAAGTGAAGGAATCATCAAACCAGTCCAATTTGTGGAATGGGCTGCACCGGTCATATCGATCATGAAGCCTGACGGGTCAGTTCACCTTTATGTGGATTTTAAAGAAACGGTAAACCACTTTTCACAGCTGGATAAACACCCAATCCCCTGCATAGAGGATCTATACGCTTTCACAAATCTGGACATGAGCCATGCGTACTTGTAATTGCAGTTAGATGAGGATTCCCAGAAGTATGCTACAATTAATACCCACAAGGATTTGTACCAATATACAAGACTGCCATTTGGGGTATGGTCAGCCTATGCAATTTTTCAGTGGACAATGGAGAATATTTTACAAGATCTACCCCAGGTCACCATTTATCTAGATGACATGCTAAAACCAGGGAAGACCTATAAAGAGCACTTAGAGAACTTAAACATTAGTACTTAGATGTTTCTTCCAGGTGGATGTATGCCTTAGAAGGGAAAACTGTGTGGTTCAGGCATCCTAAATGACCTACTTGGGCAACAGAGTTGACAAGACCGGGTTACACCTGTTGGAAGATAAAGTGAGGGCAATTAAAGGTGCCCTGGCTCCCACATCTATACCGGAGCTTAGGTGTTCAGCTGGTGAATTATTATGGAAAGTTCATTTGTAACATGGCCTACAACCTGGCACCTGAGCATCAACTCTGAAAAAAGGGTCAGCCTTGGAAATGGTTGTGTAGCCAAGCCATAGCTTTTAGAGAAGTGAAGAAACAGCTATCGTCCTCTAAGGTTTTGGCACACTATGATCCCTAGTGACATCTGGTTTTGATATGCAATGCCTCCCCATATAGCGTTGGGATAGCATTATCTGATAGGTGGCCTCATGGAGAGGAACGCCCAATAGCGTGTGCATCCAGGACTTTGGCTAATGTAGAGCATAAATACATCCAGATCGAGAGAGAAGGTTTGACAGTCATATTTGGAGTCAGGAAGTTTCAGCAATACCTTTACGGACATAAATTTGTAATAATAATGGACCACAAACCCCTGCTAGGTCTTGTTAAAGAGGATAAGGCAGTGCCACTCATAGCTTCAGGCTGAATTCAGTGATGGGCTCTCATACGAAGTGTCAGTTCGAACACCATCCAGGAGGCCAAGTAGCACATGTGGATGCATTGAGCTGCCTCCCACTGGCAGATACACTGCCCGTTGGTACTGCCATTGGAAGAGTCCATAATGCTTTTCAATTTTCTGGACACACTTCCAGTCACAGCTGACAATATCAGACTTTGGATGCCGAAATATCCAGCCCTTGCAAAACTGAAACAGCTGGAGGTGATGGGGGAATCCAAAGGGCCGTCATGATTAGAATTAAAACTGTTTTGGACCCAGAGAGACCAGATCACAGTAGAGGATGACATGTTATTATGGGGAGCAAGAGTGATTGTCCTGAGCAAAGGTCGCTGCCAGATACTGGCCGAACTCTACCAGGGTCATCCAGGGGTTTCCAAAATGAAGATGTTGGCAAGAAGTTATGTCTGGTGGCCAGAATTAGATGCAGACATAGCTGTGTTGGTGGGGCATTGCCCAGGGTGCCAACAAGGACAAAAATTACCACAAACAGCTCCCCCATATTTGTGGGAATAGCCCAATAAACCCTAGACTCGGCTACACGTTGACTATGCAGGTCCTTTCATGGACTCAATATTCGTAGTCATTGTGGATGTACACTCAAAATTGGTTGCACGGGCGTAGAGTTCACTCGTCAAATGCAGGATCGACACAAGAAAAACTGCGTGCATCTTTTGCAGTACACAGACTCTGTGTTGGTCACTGATAAAGAGGCATCATTTACCAGCAGGGAATTTCAGTATTCGACATATCCTATTCAACATGTAATGACAGCTGCATACCTTTCATCATCCAATAGTCTGGCAGAAAGAGCAGCTCAAACTTTGAAGTCAGGCTTAAAGAAACAGCCTACAGCTTCACTAGATACTTAACTGGTCCGGTTCCAATTTGATTATCGGACCACTCTCTCATGCAACTACAGGGATAGCTCCAGCAGTGTTGCTAATGGGGAGAAGACTCTGCTGTAGGTTAACTCTGATCTTCCTGGACTTGGGGGTGTGGATGAAATGGCATGAGGAACACCAATGCTGCACACAAGATTCAACTAGGTGAGAGAGAGAGTTTACTTCAGAGGACAAAGCTTCCTGTAGGAGCCATAGGAACAGTCCAGCATGGGTAAGAGGCATGGTCGATGTGAGGTATAAGGTTCGAGTCCTGAATGAGCATGTGGACCATATGAAAGCTGCAAACTCGCAAATGGTGCAGGAACAAAACGTGCCCGACTCTTCAACAGACTTTTTGACTGTTCTGGAACGTGTGGATTCTCCTTCTCTGTCAAATGTTGAAGATACCTCAGAATCTGAGATAGGCATGGTGGATGATGCCGCCTCGAGGCCTTTGCCACCTGAAGAAGAGAATGAATTTCTTCTGAGACACTCTGGGCACAGGAGGTGAGCTAATGTGTGATACACACCGTCCGTATCAGAGGTAGAGTTGGAGGAACCTGACCCGGTGCTAAAACACCCCAGGAGGAGCTTTAAAAAAAAGGAACCAATCTATATCCTCTGACTTCGAGGAGGGAGGGATATAGTGATTGTAACGAGGTCAACCAGGTGGACCTCATAGAATATGAGTTCCCTGATTGGGGCTGTTAATCTGGTCCAATTAGGGAACCCTGGCTGGAGCTGGATCAGTGTCAAGCAGTCTTTATGTGTAAATAAAGGGTGACTTGGTGACGGGATATTTCAGAGAAGGTTTGGAGAAGGTATTCCAAAGAGTCAAAGCAGCTGAAGGCATGGTTGTCAAAGGGATAGTGGGATTTATAAGAAACTAAGAGTCTGAGAAATGGAGAGAATAGGAAGCTCGGCCGAATGATCTTTGGAAAATACGAATCTGGAGATAAGGTAGGCATAGAGAAGAGTTTCAGGAACAGACAGAGTGCATGTTGATGATTTTGCAAGAATTGAAGTAGATATATTGAGATGGAAATTATATAAGAGATATAGACTCAATTTGTGGCTGACCAAATGTTTAGTGCAATAGTCTAATGGAGTGATCAGACATGGTCTTGTCTTTGATCAGGACCCTGAAAACAGATAAGTTACATAATATGGCCAGATCAAGGGAGTGTGTATATTGAAGGAAAGCTTTAGAACGTACAGGAGAGCAGTGACCTCGAATTATATTTGACAATATGAGTTGTAAATGATTGAATAACCTAATAATTTCATTTGTGGTACCCTTTCTGTGCATCTGATATATTTTTCATGTTTGATAAATCCAAATACTGATTTATTTTTAAAAATCAGGAATGTGATCTATTCGTTTCTTTGATATCCCTCATCAAATAAATCATATATCATTGCACTTCATTACATAGTTTAAGTAACAGGTCATCAAAGTACAGTGAGGTATCAGGCCTACTGTGGGCTGAGGAATTCATTTACACATAGATTTTCTTCATGTGACTTCTGCAACCAAAATACAGTTTTTAAAGATGAAAAAGGAGCAGGAACATTTAAAATTTCAAATCAGATCATGAGGAACAACCTTGTAATGGGCCAAAAAATTAGACCAGTTGAAGGATAAGTATTTTTAATTAGACTGTTTGGACATGTTTTAACACACTTTAGGATAAGTGGATGTGAACCTGGACCTTCTGGCCCAAAATTTCAAAGATAGGGGCACTGTCACAGTGTCAGAAGACTCTAGAAGATTTGAAAAGATTCTAATTTTTAATCAATCTCTTCAGACGTGTTTTTGCGCATCTATGGGACAGGTGCAACATGAACCTGGACATTCAAGCCTAGAAGTAGGGACTTTACCACTGCACCTCAAGAGCCCTACCAACTGAATGATGTGCTTATCATCTGTTTAAGGAAATTGTTTTTACTACGAGTACAGCTTTAACACTTTTATATGTTGTACTTAATAGTATAAGCATGTATTCACTCCATCGCCTCAAATTGTATGGTGTCGACCTGGAGGCCGTTTTGTTTGTGTTAAATTTGATATCTGAGTTTCAGATGCCCTTCAAGCATAACACATACTCTAATGCACGTTGTTCCAGGATGTGTAGGGGAAAGATTTATTCAAGGTGTTCCTTTTAAAATTGTAACACTTCGATTAATTTTATTCTTTAAATGAATCACTGTAACTTGTGTTTTAAAACTCTATATCAGAAAATAGATTAGTCCTTGACTGTTTTATTCACTCACCACTGGCCCATTGTTAATAAGTTCTAAATTGTATTTGGTCCTTAAGTATTCATTGCTGTTCATTTCTAACTCCTGTAGGTGGCAGCTGCAAGTGCCTTTGCACAGACTCTGAGACGTTACACATCCTTAAATCATCTTGCTCAGGCAGCCCGTGCTGTGCTGCAGAATACTGCACAGATTAACCAGATGCTGAGTGATTTAAACCGAGTAGATTTTGCAAATGTTCAGGTAATTAGACTGCACCAGAGAAAAGCTCCAGGTCCAATCATAATCATTCGAATTAGCTGAACTCAACCAAGCAGTGTTAAGGGAGCACTGGTCTGGATTTTATGTTGGTGATGAGGACAGAACTGTCAGTGGTTGCTATCATTACTCCTTTGAAGTTCACACATACATCGTTAAATGCAGAAGCTGGCGGTTGTTGTGACGGAAACCCTGCTTCTTTAGAAATTGAGTACAGGAGATCTGCTAAATCAATCAATTGGAAGTTTCTCTACTATCATAAATTCTACATATCTTTTAAAATTGTCCAAAGTTAAGATATTTTATCTTCTACTTTAAGCCCATGTGTACGTCACAAATCACTTGTTAAACAGAGTAAATTAAAAGTAGTGAACCTTTTGCTTCCCTGTTTGGTGTGTATGGGAATATTTTAATGTGACTGGCTGCTTACCTTGCTTGAAACCATCGCTGCTGCTGTATGCCTGGTATTTCCTTCACTCAGCACCAGAAAGAAACTACCATCAATAAAGGAAAGTCTACACCACAGAGATTGCTATATCTTTGTTGGCAGCCTTCTTTAAGATCAGCGGAGAATGTCATTGCTTCCCCACTGACTGGAAGATCAGTCCATTTTGTGGATTTAGTGCGCTGATTTAGGGAGAAAAAAAGGATTAACCAGATAATACCTCATTTAATTGTTATCCTTTGACCCATTCCTGGAAATGACATTGTGTAGCAGTAGGTTAATGCCAGCATCTGCCTTAACTCTGATATTCAATGGTCAGATAGCCTGAAAACATCAACTGCCCATATCCTCAGACATAAAATGATCCAAACCTCTCCTAACACTTGGAAAGAAGAAGAAAATAATAGTTGAGGGGGTTGGTGATACCACACATTAGATATGATCTCTCTGAATCCAAGATGAAAGGAAGAATATGGTAGAAGTCTGTACATGTGTCATCTGCTGTTTATGTTATATTAAAGCAAATACCATATCAATATAATAGCTGGAAGGTGTTAATCAATTTAGTTACAGGAAGACATACAATTATATAGAACTTAAAATGCTTCAAGTTCAAAAAATTACTTTCCAATGCAATTACTGTTATTATGTGGACATAGCATGATTCAGATGACACACAAAGCGATGAGATCTGTTTTTAGTGGTGTGGACTGTGGGATGAATGCTAGCCAGAGAAGTTGGAAAACTTTGTACCCCGAGTAATGCCATGGAATATTTAATATCCATCTTGACCACAAGAGCAAGCAAATAGATTCTAGTTTTGCCATTTTTCATCTGACCAATGCAGCATTTTCTTAGTACTGTACTTAAGTGTCAAACTCACCTGAATCCTGAAGCAAAGCTTGAACCTACAAGCCTCTGACTCTAAGATGCTATCGATCAAAGTCAAACTGTCATTTGTGATTTGTCACTTGCACCTTCTCAATTTAGTCAGAGTTGATTCTGTATTGGTTATGAGTTCATGTAGTGTGAAACTAATCAGAAGAGCTAGATCAGCCTCTAGTTAATGTCTTTATGTCAGTGAGAGAAATTTCTGGCTGCATATCTTGCCTTTTGAAAATCAGTTTATATTTGATGAGCAGGTATACCTGTACTGTAATAGTGACTTAATGGTTTTCTCAGGAACAAGCTTCGTGGGTGTGTCGTTGTGAGGATGGTGTTGTGCAAAGGCTGGAACAGGATTTTAAAATGACTTTACAGCAACAGAACTCCTTAGAGCAATGGGCATCCTGGTTAGACAGCGTGGTAACCCAGGTCCTCAAACCGTATCATGGCAGTCCTAGTTTCCCCAAGGCTGCCAAACAGTTCCTGCTCAAGTGGTCCTTCTACAGGTGGGTGTTATAATGTTGTTCTGCATAGGTAGAAATGTGTTATTAAATGAAAATATACTTAGTATGTGTCGTGATGCACAGGAAATTCAATTACAGTATGTTACAGTAAATCCTCTATCGATGAGTCACGAATTCGCCTATCCACACCAAAATTAAGTACCAACAAAAATCAACATCTGCAAGAAAAAATCGCATATCCGAGATTTTTAATCTAGTTTTAACGAGCTCCGCTCTCTCAAATTTCATCATTTGCTGCCAGACCTGCTGAGCTTTTCCAGCAATTTCTGCTTTGGTTTCTGATTCACAGCATCTACGGTTCTTTCGGTTTTTATGACATATCCAACACCTCCTTGAAATCATGTCATGTTTTGACCTCAACTGTTTTCTGTGGCTGTAAATTCCACAGGCTCACCACTCTCTGGATGAAGAAGTTTGTACTCATCTCTGTCCTAAATGGTTTTCCTCATATACTTAGACTGTAACCATTGGTTCTGGTTCTTTGGCTGGAGCAGGCAAACACTTGAGCACTGAATTTTCTCCAGTCATTCAGTTTCGATATATTTTAATAGTAGACTTAAAATTGCTTTGTACAAATGATCAAGATTAATCCTAGAATTTCTTTCTATAGGCAATGTAAAATATGCTTTGATAACCTGTATCATGCCAAAGCCTAATGTCTCAATAACTATTCCAAATCATAGGATAAATAAGATTGTTTATTCACATTAAATCCATTAATAACAGATTTACATGATAGAAAAATATAGACAGAATTTGCAAATGACCCAAGTTGTGTCCAGATTATTTAATAAACAGGAGTATATTTATTAAGAAATATATTCATACCCTTTACTTCCTGTATTTGAATATTGTGCATGTAGTTGCATTACATACTGCATAGGCAGCTACTGCAAGATGACCAGCTTACAGCTATGATCACGAGTCAAGTTCACATCATGATGATCTGATAATCCAGGACAAAATTAACTTTTATTTAGAAAGTGTGGATTAGCTAACAAAAGCTAACACAAAGGTAAATTGTGTTTATATAAATTGATTGAGTTTTTGATGAGCTAATCTAGGGGATTGATGAGGATAATGTGTATAATGAAGTGCACTTCTGAAAATCATTTGATAAAGTGCTGCACAATACACTGCCAGTAAAGTCAAAGCTTATAGAATAAAAAGGACAATAGCAGTATGGATATCAAGTTGGAAGAATGACAGGAAACAGGTAAACATCTTCTTTTCTAACTTGAAGAAAGTTATACAGTAGAGGTTCCCAGGCGTCATTCCCAAGACCACTGCTTTTCTATTTAAACTAATAATCTACACTTGTCTATGTAAAGGACAGTATCACAATTTGCTGATGACTCAGAAATGGAAGTATTATGATCCATCAGTTAGATAATCGATGGACTTCAAGAAGACATAAATAGGCTGATGGAATTGTTGGAGGCATAACAGATGAAATTTAATCAACAGGAAGTACAAAGAGAAACAATATAAAATAAAAGATATAATTCTAAAGGGTGCAAGAGCAGAGACCTGGCAACATGTATGCCCACATTGTTGATTTGATTTGATTTATTATTGTCACATGTACTGAGATACAAGGTGTAGAGCAAATTGAGAAAGTGGTTAAAAAAACAAATAGGATCTTAAGCTTCATAAATAGGCATGGACTACAAAAGCAAGGAAGTCATGATGAACCTTCATAAAATACAATTTTCACCTCAACTGCAGTATTATGCCCAGTCCTAGGCATTGCATCTTCAGAGATATTTGAAGGCTTAGAAAGAGTGCAGAAAAGATTTAGAAGAATGTTTCTAGGGATGAAGGACTTCAGTAACAACGAAAAATCAGAGAGTTTTCCTTCAAGAGGATAAGGGTTGATAAGCAATTTGATAAAGATGTTTAGAATCATGATGGCGGATAAGGAGAAACTTTTACCATTGGCAGACCAGCATTTAAGAACCAGAGGACACCAATTTAAGGGTGAATGACCAAAGAACAAGTGGCAACATGAGAAAAATCATTTTTAGACAGTGAGTGGTTAGGATCTGGAATGCCAGAGAGGGTGGTGGAAGCAGATTTAATTGAGGATTTCAAAGTGAATTAAATGAACAAAGTAAAAACTTACAGGACATGGGAAAAGGTTGCAGAGTAAAGGACTAATTAAGTTGCTCTTGCAGCGAGTGGCACTGATACAAGGGTATATGGTCTCTTTTTGTGCTGCAAACATTTTTATCATTCTGTCATAACCTCCACCTAATACATTTCCTGTTGTGATTAGATAATTAAGGAGTAGGTGGCAAGTGGAAACCAGCTATAAAAACACTTCTTTGTAACATTGCCTTCTTTCAAAGCCAAAATCTAATGTTGGCTGCTTATAGGTTTCCAAAATGGTATGTGCTTTTAGAAAATATGTAGCAAGAAAGTCTTATTAATGACACATTTAAAGGAACTTCAGAAAGAACTGTTCTATTTAATTTAGTTCAATGGTGATTCGGGATTTAACTTTGAGGAGTGCAGCAAGTTTTGGGTCCTTTCATCTCATTCGCCTCCTGTATGATGAATACATGTACTATTTGATAGAGCATCGTGTGGCACAGGCAAAGGGAGAAACACCCATTGCTGTCATGGGTGAGGTAAGTTGTATGCGATCTCCTATCTCCATCTTGTTCTCATAATTGTAAATTTATAAATCTCTTAATTTATAAAGTACTAATGTGGTAATTTTAATCTTCATGCTGAACTCTTGCTGACATAAATGTTACTTGCCAAACCTTTAATTGTTGCATCGATTGTTGAAATACTGTTTACTTTTCCAAATAAAATAAATAAATAATTGTTAACTGTGTTGTGTAAAAATAATGTAGAATGCAATTTTAAAAGGAATAAATTTATTTTTAAGTTTATACTCCTAAAGAATGACAAATTAATGCAACCTACAATTTATTTTAAATTCATAGTTTAATTTTGTGAAACGAGTGATAGAAGTATTTATTGTAACATTAAAATGATTAAACGCAAGAGGATGTCATGCAGTACTCAACTGCTTGAGTTGCTGGTCTAGTTCTCTTTCAGTTTTGTAATGCAACACGTTAAAGGCAAAATAAGACAAGTTTCTTCTTTTAATGTAGTTTGCTGATCTTGGACGGGCTTTAAACCCACTGGATCCTGACAAAGGTAGGCAATGTGCTTGAACACAAATAAAAATCAACACTTGTGTTTATTTTATAACTGAGTTTGTAGTATTGGAAGCTTTCTAAACTTTGGGACAAGTTGATCATTTACACAAATCTGGAGAGGGAGAGACATTGTACACCAGGGATATAAAAAAAATCCTCATTTGGACTGCGAGTTTTATAATTTAAGCCCACAGATTGCCTTGCATCCTTACTCTGATTTGGGCATTTATGTTGATTCAACAAACACAACCACTTGATTGGGAATGATGACTACCATGTACTGTACTGAATACTGTGGCTGTTTATTGCTGCAAAGTGCTGTTCATTTATTTGTAATGTACAGTTGCATCCTGTCACTTCCTTAAATTATTTCTGTGCAAGTAAGTTTTTTGGAACATCTTGATGAGTGATTCCATGTGGAAGGTAAATGTGAAAATATCTAAAAGTATGCAAAAGTAGGAATTAACTCACATTTTCACAATATCTAACTAAGCTTGTTGAATGGAATTGTGTCCAGAGCTAGCTCAGATTATGTATATCCCAGTATTAACAATGGAATTTGAAGAATAAACATCAACACAGATTTGTTGAGATGAATGGTCTATTTATACACTGTAATTTCTATCTATGTGTAATTGGTATTGAGCTTTTTTTAAGCATGTATTCCTCATTGCCAATCATCCTTTACTGTCTAAAGTCCTACAAAATGTCAAGCTCAGTGGGACCGACTTCACTTGGTTCTGTTGTTATCTATCTAATCATGGCCGTTGCATCTCCAGCAATGATTTTTCTTCTGGACTGCACTCTTGAATATCCAAAGATTTACCCTTGGCCTGTTCTACTTTAACTATCATGGAATCAGCATTTACTTTTCGCTATCTACAACCAGCTCTACCTTTTCTCTGTTGGCCTTTCCACTACTTTTCTATTTACCCAACATCCAGCCCTAGATTAGCCACAATTTTCTCCTGATAAACATTGGGCAGACCAAAACCATTATCTTCAGCCCCTGCCCAAGATTTGTACCTCGACTACTAATTCTATTCCCAGCCCCAGTACGCTGTTCAACCTTAATCTGATTCCTGCTTTAGAGCACTAAGCTCATCTGTATATCTTACCATGCACCAGCTGCCACTCAGCTATCATCTTTCTCTTTGCAGGCTTAAATTGGTATCTGTTCATCAAGTATTCCAATTTAGAATTCCTATCCCTGTATTTAAATCATTTCGTGATCAGTCTGCTTCCCATATCTGTAGTCTCTCCCAGTACATCATGGCCTACCTCTATCCAGCTTCTTGTGTATCTGTCTCTCTCCCCTTTGGAAGCTTTTCCTTCATAAAACTAGGCTAGGCTCCATGGCCTAGTTTTGTAAACAACCTCACCTCTTTTCCTCCTCAAAACCCACCTCATTGACTCAGCTTCCTTCTTTGTCATCTTTAAACTCTTTACATCTTTTGCCTAGGATATTTTTCAATTTTAATGCCATAATGCAATGTTCATTATTTCTTAGGAATTTGGTTTCTTTATATTACTTCAACCACGTTCATCATTATGCCCAATTCTTATTCTAAAAAATATCTACGTAAAGTAAATATTCCCTGAAGGGTTTTTGTGCAGGCGAAGTCAAATTATTTATTTACGTGACTCTGAATTTGTATCATTTTTCCTTTAAAACATCTCATTCAGATGAGGAGGAAGAAGAAGAAGAAAGTGATGATGATAGTCAACAAGAAATTCCAATGGACAATGAACCAACATTAGTAACAGATGCCATGGAGCCACCAGCCAAGTTGCCACGGACGGAGTCAAGGGGAGTGTTCGTCCAAGCACCACCAACCAACTGAAAATGAAATGTAGGGCAAAAAGAGGAAAGCTTTTGCTTGAATTTAACGCGGTTCACTCACCATCCATGGTACTTAACTGCCATGGCATAGAAAGACATTGTCTATAGTTATCACGAATCTCAAACATCTGCCAAAATTATTTTAGTTCAACATTTATTTATATGAGTTATATTAAAAATAAAAGAAGAAAATTGCTTTCAAAAATTTGGGCACTAGGAGTAGAGCACATTGTAAAATGAATATCTTCACACAGTCACAAATTTAAAGCCACTCAGCTCTCAGAATATATAGAAACTGAATCTTTACAAAACATTCTTTGCATTCTGCTGCTTACATTTTTTCTTTAAAAACCATGGGAGCCAGGCAGGACAGTAACCTATTGCCCAAATACCATGATTTCATCTCATTCAGCTGCATTTACTTTTATTTTCGTAATCAAAACATTGCATCTGTGAGCTTTGTTTGCTGCCACTGGAATACAACAAAAGGGGAAATGAAAAGTCCCACTAGAATTTCTAACAAAATTTATTTCAAATTAAATTAGGTCTGTTTATAAGTGTGTTACTAAACATTGTACAGGTATAGGAAATAGTGTGTTTAATATGTGGGCCCCTGATTCACTTTTAGTTGAAATAAACTCTGAACAAGCTGTTTGGTTACGCCAGCAGCTTCATTCAGCTAAAATAATCAACAATATTTTACTGCCAAGGAAGCACAGATTGAACTGGGGCATAACAATGAGTTGAATCAAAGATTACTCATTCTAGATTGACAAATATGATTATACTTGCCCGCCAATGAACCTCTTGTAAGCCAATCTTGGAGAAGTTCCTCTGCTTATTTTATGGGCTTTTGTCTTTACTATGTTTGTTTTAAAAGTTAAAAACATACTTATTAGGCACATTTTGTAAGGCTGTGCAGTAGTTTGTGCAGTGGCAGCAAGTGGAACAGAACACTGACTTCACGCATTTGCGTTATTTTTCTTTGACTTTCAAACAAGTAAGTTAGTAACCATTTGGATTTCACTTTACCCTCTACTGCTCATAGAATGAAAGTTTATTTCAACTGAAACTTAAGAAATATGATACATTTTTCCATGTAACTATTATATCATTTGACTCTACGTCCTTCTTAGGATGACCCTAGTTACTGCTGATGGGTTCGAAGAATTGACCATTTATATAGAACATAATGAGGCACTTTCCTAAAAAGAAATAAGGAATTTGGGCTGAAAGAGTGTTGCACAGTCACTTTCTATTCCTGGTGTTTCATGGGAGGTATATCAGACTTGTGAGTTGGAGATGAATCTGGAGTCCTAGAGAGGGCTAGAAAATAGGGATGTGCTCACCAGAAGTGTTAGTTATGTTGTATTATCTCACAGATTGCAAACTAAAGCTTTTACAGGCATTTTCTGACCACTGCAAAATACAATAGGAATGAAAACAGGAATTTAGGCAATGCGGAAAAGAGTATTAAGATGTGAATCCTTTGCCAATAATATGATTAGGTCAGTGTTCAGCAAAATTTAACTAACACTATCTTGCTGGTGTGTTGACATAACTTTCAGGAACTGTCATATATTGCTGCATGATTTGTTGACATAGTTTAATAATTTATGTTGCTATGCAATGTTTAATGGAATTTTGAATTTCCAGATTCATTACTCTTGTTCTGTTCTGCAAGGAAGTCCCATTAAAATGTTAAAGTAAAAATGGTAGATCTTAGATTGTTAGCACTTTATTCCACGCTCTTCTCTGGTACGGGCCTTATAATCTTTGCTACACTGGACTTGCTTTGCAAGTCAATGAATTGAAATCATAGAAAATTATTAAGAAGAACCTGTTGAACACAATCAATCCTCGTAGTACCTATTGCATTAAACTTGATAAAGATCACTGGATGACACCAGCTGTATTGATGTAGATGCAAAATGTTTAGTTTTTCAATTTACCTGCTGAATATAATTTAGCACCAATTTAAAGCACAATCATCAAACAAGGGCAAATCTCTATTCAAATTCCAAATTCAAGCTTCTGTTTTTTTAAAGAAGTTCACCTATTCTAAGCTAAAAAGTATTCAGAATCAGCCATATGTGTGAACAAGTTGTAAAACAAGATGTGCTGATTCATCAGGCATCACTGCCTCCTATAATAATGAAAAATATGAATATCCTAGTGATCTAGAAATATTATTAATGGAGAAATTGCATTGCAAGAAACTTTTGAGCCTGTTACATTTTGGACTACCTTGTTTTCATTTGGACCAATATCTTTGAGGAAGTTTGAATTCCTTATCTAAAACCATGCTCTATCCAACTGACCATTAAAAATGTATTGTAAATAACAAGTTTTAATCTTAGGGACTCCTCCCTGTCGGTAGGAAAAAACCCAAACTATTTATATTTTAATGAAATTTATACTTTTCCTTTTCATTTTTTCGGTTTCTGCTCTCTACTGACCCATGTTGGAATATTGTCCAGTGGTGGCAGTGCTGCAATGTCTCACTCATATGGTCATTCTCAATGTCTGACCTGTTACAGTGGGTGTCAACAGGTTATTTGACAATTTGTGGCAAAACACTTGAACCCGATTCTGTCTTAACTCATGTGTCCATGCAAATTTTATAGGAGGAACCACTGGATAATAATCAGACAACTTTTTCACTTTGCAAGCCTTTCACATAGCCTCTTCTATCAAGGCCTGTATTGTTGTTATCCATTGATTGTTACCTTGCTTTGAATTCTTTTATTTCTTCACTCTTCTTTCCCTCCATTAAATAAGCAGTCATGATTTGTATTAATTTTGTTGCCTTGCAGAAACCTATCTTTTAAGAGAAGCCAGAGTGTGATTTCATGTGAGGATTTCCTACTTGAGAGCCCAATGATGTCATGCTGCAACAGCATTGTCTTTTAAGGATGTAAGAAGAATAATCTGCAGGTCTTTGAATTACTTTATAATTTATGCAGAAAGAGTACATCAGTTCCCAATGAGTTATCCAAGAATTTGTTTCTTGTAAATTTAACTTTACAATCCAATGTTTTGCCTCACTGAGATTGGCTTTTCACCTGGTCCAAAATCTAATTCTGAAAATAACTTCTAAATAATGACAAAAGCAATATTAAATTGGCTGCAATTCAGGAATGAAAGGGGAAAAAAAGCAATAGGTCACACAGCCTTATTAGCAGAAGTGATAACACTGAAGCCAATCAGGCATTGGGCAAGTTATCAGCTCATCAAAATGCAAAAGATATCATCTCAGTACCAGGTGCAGATGTTGTGTCGAAATTTCTGACGGTTATGATTCACTCACTGTCTAAAATGTGCTTTTAAACTGTAAATTATAGCCATATTGGTCATGCTTCAACCAATAGAAAATATTAGTAGAAAACAGGAAACTGTTGACATGTGCCTTGTTCAGCTGAAATCAAGAAATTTGTTACAATGCCAATTCTTTTTTACTTTTCAAATCTACACACAATGATGGAGGATATTTAAGTATTTAATGAATTAAAAAATTCATTAAACAACTGCTGGGCAGTTGATCCAGCAAACTAACTTGTTTTGGAGGTAAGGTATAATATTGGACTTTAATTGTAGTCTGATGAATTAGTTTCTGCAACATGACTAACTCCAGAAGGAACACATTTGTTTAATAGCTGACATTGATGCTTTTCTTCTTTGTAATCCTCTGCCAGTTAAATGCTCATTCACCTGACAACATACATAGTCTCCCTCCCTGCACTACTGTCTAGTGATGTCAGCAGAAATGATCTGCCGATGTATCCTTGCATGACTCCATTAAAAGTAACAAAGGAAGTATTTCAGTGCAGCATGAGCTACAGCTTTGGCTAGGCTAGTGTTGGGCAGACCTTCCCATGTTGTATCTAATGCAATCATTATTGGATGATTGAAGTAATCTTCTAACATAGAGATGGAAATTCCTCACAAGGGGGAAAAAGCAATTTCTTTTTTAAATGAGGCATTGATCATTTTCTTCTGTTAAATTTTAACCTTAATGATTAAACAGGAGCAGAACCATGAAGTTTCAATCTGTGAACCTTACCATCTGTGCCACAAGGTCTGTTTCTTTGGCCGTGCTTTTCTGCCACAACTGATTCACGTGACCATCATATCGACAGGTTACTGTATTTGGATGCTCTGATGTTCTGTTTCTACTCCTATGTAATGGTCTAATTTCAGTATTCAAATTTAATAACTTCTGTTGCAGTGGAGTAATTCTATCTGGTAAAACTGTCTTGAACAATATTGGATTTATATTATCATAGTTTGCAATAAATGGAATGCGGCAACAGGAGTTGTAGTTTAACATTATAACCATATGCCTCTGACTTACCTGGAAGTGGAGGAGCTAACTTTAACTATTGATAGTGGCGTAACATGGGCATTCTTGCACTGGCTACCCATATACACCCCACCTGATACTTCTTTCATTGACTTTAATGACCATTATACCCTCCACCAATCTGATAGCACCAAAAGTTAGAATCCACCTCTCCTCCCACCAGGTCTGTTTTCAAGTTGAGTCTTATTGACCTTGGTAATTTATGACGTGCAGTATTGTTTCCAGTCCATATAATAGTAGAAAAAGGCATTGCAGATTTTCAGATAAATCTAAAATATTTACAGCTACAATAAAGGAAGCCCTTGCAATGATTTGATTGCCAGTTATTCAAGTCTGTTAGTAAACTGAACCAAAGATTTGTGTGAAATGACTCTTGATACAGTGCTAAACACCCTTGCCTGCTTAGTGTCAGAACTTTGACAAGGATCTTTTGGTCCACCTGCTGATTCTGAAGCCATTCACAATTAGTTATTTTGGCTTCTAGGTTGTATGGTGCTTCAATTGTCAACTTGGTCAATCAAGACTTGAGTGTAAAATTCTAAAGCTGTAAATACATGACTAATTCAATGCTGAAGAATTTCCTGTCTTAAAGTAGATCCAGTAAAATGAAGGTGCCTCGTATAACATGCATTTTACACTATTAACAGGATCCTGCAGGAAAACAACCCAAAAAAGGAAATTATTCAAACTGCTCTTTATCTATTAATAAATATAAAGTTTCCGCAAACAGTTGCTTTACTTTGTGTTAGTAAAGGAAGAAATAGCTATTAATTTCACTTGTGTTGATGTCATTAAACTATATTAAAACCACACAACAGCAGGTGACCTCATTCTCTACAATATGATATTTAACTTGTTCCAGGAAATTGATATAAAGATATTCAATTCTGTTAGACGTTATTTCTATTTTTACTCAAATGATGATTCTTGGCAAGGCTGAGGTATAAAGTAACAGATCAAATTTCATATTTTATTCTGGGGTTCTATTAAAAGCATAAACTATTGGCCTTGACGATGAAAGGGAAAGTAAAGGTTGGTGAGGGAAAAAGTGTTGTAAAAAGACTGGATTTCCCTTTAACTGAAAGAAAAAGAAGTGCAATAAGGTTTAAATGGCAGGTAACTTTGTGTTATAATCAGATGTTTTTGGTAATATGAAAAGGTGACCAATATATTTTTTTTTAAATCTTCTTTAAATTTTGTCTTTGGTAGAGTTTAATTTGGAAAAAGTAAGTTTTATTTTAGTTCACAATTATTTTCAGAAAGTAGTTAAGCCCAAGTAATTTTCGTTCTAATTCATTTGTGTGAATATCTGAAAAACTATGTAGTATTTTGGTTTACTTTTCCAGTCTAGATTAGTGTCCTTTCCAAAGTTTAAAGATGAATCTAATTGGCTTATTTCAATATGATGATGTAATTCATCTGGAAAGCTCCCTAGTAATTACAAGGTTATTTGACTAGAATTTTCCATAATCTTGTCATGTCTGAAGAAGCCAATGTGAATCCAAAGCCAGACTCTCAAACAAAAGCTGAGGAGATAATTGGATCAACAATTGGCCATTCAGATTTCTGTCAATGAATTCAAACTACAGTTCTCTTAAACCTCTTGTGACTGATAGTTTAATTTTGTGTGTTTGCTTTGTTCTTTTCCAAGTGCAATTTTTCTCTGTTTCAATAATATCCATTTAGCACTGATTAATTCATTAGTACAATTACTAACAGTTAGACTTTCAGGTGTGCAAGTACAAGATCTGAGAACTGTGGCCTGCCTCAACAAGAGCGGGGGAGAAAAGGATCAGAAACTTTCTATTAAACTTCGTTATAAAACCACATGGTAGCAATTTGCAATATGCTGTACCTATGTTCAAAACCAAGGGATAGTATTACTGGTTGTACATTTGATTGGAAGCTTTTGTTCATAAGTGTAAAAATTGAATGATAATTGACCATTGTGGGTCAGATGGCAACATTCAAATTGGCCTGCTGAGATCTTTGAAAGCTCCAATTTTTGGATTGACAAGAGCAGGAGCTTTGAAGCCCACTTATCAAATTGTATGCGCCATAACTAACATTGGCCTGATGTGCCTCTGTTTACATCTATCTCTGTCTGTTGACACAATTATTTTTCCAATTTTAAAAACAATGTTGCCCCCTCTCATTTGCCATTTTCCTCTTTTTCTTTCATAGGCAACCTATTTTTGTCTTAAATATATGTGGGGTCTGGGAGAGCAAATGTTTGTATTCAGATTGTCAGTCTTGGAGAACGTGTTCATTTGAGATCACTTATAAGACCAAGCACATGTTATGCTGGATTGAAAGGATGAAAGAGGAATCTGACTAAGAAATTAGGAGCCGTATTTATTATCCTCTGCACACAGTCAGTTTAGTTTTGTAATCACAGAGGAAGTAAAGACAAAGAGCAGGAGCCATGAAGTTTTCTGTGAATAAAAGAAGTTCATGCTTGTTCAGCATCCTGCTTGAAGTTTAAATTCCTGTAAAGAAGCATTTGGAGACCCAGAAAAGATCCTTCCTCATATAAGTTACATGTACAAACTAAAAAGGCTGCTACCCATCTGAACACTCCTGCATTAAACCTTTTCTATCTTGAAGTCATGGAAGTGATGTGATCATCCACAACTCCTCCTGCATATAACATATTATACTACAGTTCATTTTCAACACTCGGGTAAAAGCTATTCATTTCACTATTAAGTTGGGTATTTTGCAATAGTTAACCATCAATTAGTCACTCGATCCTGCAACTTTTTAAAATACTTTTTCTGAGTCTTGTGGTTGTTTCTGTTTTGAAGTCCTGCTGTTAGGACAGTGATTTTGGTCAGGTTATTTTCTTGGACAAGATGCAAACCTTTATTTTGTTGTTGCTGCTGCATTTGAATTTACTTTGCCTTCAGTTGCTGTCTATAGCTGTCTCTTGATATCCATACACTTTTGCAACGAGCTTTGCTGGTAGTCTGTATTAATACTGTCTCCTCATAATGAATTGACTTATTTTAATAATAAATTATCTTAAGAATTTTTAAAAAATTGAAAACAGGTAGAGAAAGAAATGCTGCTTTCACTTTGTCCACTACACAAAAATACCATACAAGGAAACAGTTTGAACTCAAAAGCCAAGAACATAAGCACTCTGGGTCAGATAGAGACATAAGTAAGGCACTATAGCCACTCCTAGTCTAAAGCACAAACCAAAATGCATTCTGTGTGGACATAGGGTTAAAAACGTGCTGTTAGATCTTCTACTGTTCACATTAATTTCCCAAGTCTACGTCGTTAATCCTCAGTTCCCATTGGCCTCGGAAATTAGTCAGAGAAAACTGCCCCTCTTTTGTAATCAGATATTTTCCTACTACAAACACTTTAGGTATCTCAGTGTGTATGAAGTATAACTAGTTGCAAAGTACTGAGGCAAACTCAGTAATGCAGCTCCTGTTCTAGCAGTGATTTCATTTGCTCCACTAATTGATGTCAGTCTTAATCACCACTCAACCAAGACCAGGTCCTAGTTTTTTCTGTGAAGCTAATTAATGAATGACCATCTCCTTTGAAAATGGGATTGTAGTATCACATTCCAATCTTTTTCTTTCTGTAAGCCCCCACCCTAGACCAGTCGATCATTATTTCGATTGATACAGCTACTGGAGAGGAATTAAAAGTCTTGTATCTATCTGTTTTGGTGATAATAAAATTCACTCCGATTAATATAATTTCAATGTGGAAATTTTAGTGTCAAGATGCTTCACCATCTCACCACGAGCTGAGATGCTGTCCTGAGCCTGTTATGTCATATCCAAAATTAAATGGAAAAATAGAATCAGTTTTCCTAAGTAGATCAAAGCTTTTATCTATATACCCAAGTAACTGTTTTCACTTCCATCATAATTATCTAAATGCCACTCAAGTACAGTGATTATGTAGTTTTTGTAAAGTATAAGGTAGATAATTGCTGCTGTTCATATTCTAATTAAATATGTCACTTAAACTAAATCGAAGAGAGCCACATAAGCTTGAAATATCTGAAAGTAAGCTGCTAAAAATCTTCCACCACCACTACTGCCTACAGCATTTAATTTGTTCCTCACCAGTTTTTTCACCTTTTCCTGGATGTGTTGACTTGAGGATGGTGCTGAATCTTGTGCATACTTATCATGAATGGGTTGGAAACTCACCCTAAATTGCCACAGTACTAGTATGCTCCAAGATACTATTGGTGTGGTCATTATTCATGTGCGAGTCTTGATCGCAGGAGGGAATTAAGCAAAGCCCAAGTCTCCTCTCATCTGATATTGAAATGTGGGCCCTGGTCTACCTCAACAAATCCAAGACTAAAGTCTAAGACCATTTAAAGCTAAAATAGTTTGAAGTCTGTAATAATTCATTGATCTTTAAAGGGCGACAAAATTCAAAACGAAATATATAGAGTACGGCAGTTCGTTCCTTGTGAATAACCATAACTTGTAACTTGAGTAGTTTCATTGATGGTTGAGGTTTAAAATGATTTATGAACACCAAATATGCAGCAAACAGACCAGTAATGTCTCCCAATTAAAAATTTGTTTCTCCTAAAATATCTTATGATTCAAAATCATTTCTAATATAGTTTACATATTCATAAGGAGATTATATTTGGATGTTATTGTCTCTGTTTTCTTACTGTGTTCACTGGACACTCAGTTCCTGATGCCAATCATTAGTTTCCAAATAACTAACTACTTTTTCCTCCTACAGTCTCTTGGAAGGAATCAAAAGAACTTTAATAGGAGCCTGGACATGCTCAATATCTGTAGCATGTACAAAAAAGTTGAATTATATGGTCCTATAAATAGCAGGGCTAGAAAGCTCAGAAATGACTTGTCAATAAAACTATATTCTTTTTGTCCAATTTTTTGGGAGTATTTTTCTTGTACACTCAGTACAAACTAACCATGAATTTTACAGTATCTGTTCACTCTTATACTGGCAATCAATATGTGAATATGTGATTCGGGTACTGAATAGTTCAACATCTCCGTGACCACCCAAAATTGAAATGTCTGTTTGAGTTGTTTGAACATAAAAAGAAAACTGTTAACTTCCCAGGCAGAATGTGAATGGGTGTCTCATTTGTGATGGTGCAAGAGGTGCTTAATTTATAAGGGTAGCAAATATGTAACTTTTTAACTTTTTAATGTGAGAAAGAATATCTGGAGGTCTTGCTTGCTCTGTGGGAAAGAGAACGTGCTGAGTGTGCCTTTAAATTAAGTGCATTCCAGAATACTGCCATATAGTTACCATACGTGATGCACATCGCGAGATTGTCACATTTATCATTCAATCCAGTAACAACTGCCACCTAGCAAAAGCAAGTTCAACACCTTGAATTCACATTTTATTGCTCCCTGATGTACACACTTCTCCAATTTGGGCTAGCTATCCCTAAGGGAAGAGAGAGGGAATAATAACCGGTTCCTGTGGTCAACGGTGAATGAACATTGATGGTAGAGTAAGTTCGGGAGAATAGAAAATAACTTTCACTGTGATAAAATACAAGTTATTCTTTGATTTTTTTCTTCTAAATTTTAATTCAGTAACCCTTTATGAATGATGTATTTGGTCAATCTTGGCTGTAGTTAGCTCACATATTTGTGACAACATTCTGAGTATCAGCATATTGATGATGAGTGTCACAGCTGACCGAGAGGCCTTGTGTTCAGGGTTCAGGTAAAGTTTGAGAGCAGAAATTCTAATGGAAGGAATATTTTGGATGTTAACGTGTTAAAGCCACAGAAAGAAGTAGTTATTTTTATCAAGTTATTTCTAACTTAAACCAAACTGAATGAATGTGGCATTTCTCAAAAAATTGCTAATGAACTTCTTTCAAGTTGTCAATTTTGGTCCTGAGATCCAAGTGCAATAGTACAAATACCAACTGCCTATTCTGCATGTTACACGAGGAAACAGTCTTGCAGCTCACTCAGTTTATACTTGAGATAACAAGGTGTAGAGCTGAATGAACACAGCAGGCCAAGCAGCATCAGACGAGCAGGAAGGCTGACATTTCGGGCCTACCTTATACTTGGTTCAGTTGTAAAAAGGAAATTCCATTTGTGACTGTTAGAGTCGATCGTGGGCGTGAACCATTTTAGGCAGTAAATGGAACTCTCCCTCCCACGGCACCTTTAAACAATACTGTACTGAACAAAAAAAAACAATGTAGAGTGGATCCTGAAAATATGAAAATGTGGCAGAAATTGCTAGAAATGTTCACCAGGTCAATGTTCATTAACCTGAAACATTGATGGGCCTGATTTTTAACTATGTTTTGAGTGAGTTAAAATCAATTTTTTCCCCTCTGTCTATAGATGCTGTCTGACCTATTGAGTATTTCTAGCAATTTCTGTATTAAAATTGTGTTCACATTTTGTTTTCTGATTTCCCAGTCAACCTTTTAGATTATACCGAGAGTTGCATTTCAGTAACTTAGGAGATGTAAACACTGTGGTACATGTACAAAGGATACAATGTCGAAGTAACGTCCTGCCTTTATCAAAGGACTACAGCTCTAAGTCAATGCAATGCCCTAGATAACATAGTCTATTCCAATTAATTCATGAATAAATTTTTATTTAGGCTAAAAAACAATTTTGTGAATTACTGTATAGGAAAAGACTTTAGCTAGAAACTTCTGTTTTTGTAGACAATTATTAATCATCCTTTTTTTCACATCTATTGCCATATTACTTTGATATCCCCAAGCTCTTAACACAATTGCATTAACACCTTTCCACATCTTTTTTCAGTTGAGAAGGCAGGATATGAGTCAATCTCTTGAGTTTCACTGTGAGAACAACTAATATGCTTTATGGCCACAGCCCATCTCGTATAAGCTTGATTCATCTTGTGTTCTCTCCACCATATGAAACTGGAAGATAATGATGTTTTTAGGATGTACGGCTGTGACCATGAGATCAGAACGAGGTGGTGTTCCTGGTCTGGAAGTACAAACAGAATTTCCAGTGCATTACCAGCAAAGTCATAGTAGTTAAATGGAACCAACTCCCAAAGATTCCCAGCTCGGGTATTCATTTTTTAAAAAATGTCATATCCCAGATATCTAACTCCAATAGAAAACCACTTAAATGCAAGCAAGCTCTACATTGGGGTAAATTTGATTGTCTTGTAGCAACCCACTCATAACTAGGGGAATATTCCACATCGTCCGAAAAAGCTTAGGAGTAAGTATTTTAAAAATGGACATCACTGCATTTGTCTTTCTTTTTCACCAGAAATAGCTGGTTTTAGGAAGCTCTGTTATGATTGAGAGGGACCTTACCTGTGTTGTAGTTTCTCAACTTCTTTCTTCACTGCAGAACTTAACAGATGCCTCGTAGTTCTAGTATGTTAGAGAATATCTAAAGGATACAGCCTCAAACTAAGATAAGTGCCTCTGTTAAACCATCTGAAGGTATGTTCATGGAAAGGTGATGCGCAGGGACAGTGTAAACAGGACCCACGTCCTTTCACTATTTTTATGATGCCAACGTAGTGCATTGAGTTTCCTTTGCAGATTTCTGGCTAACATAATCAGCCCAATGGAAGAGCAGTTTGTTGCCTTTTGTTAATCCTTGACATTAAAATCATTTGTAGGATTTTTCTTTCTCCTTTTCCAGATAGAGTGTGTGATGTGTTCAATGTATTTTGCAGTTAATTGAGGCACTTGTAAAATACTTGTTGTACCAGTTTGTAACTCAAAATTACATATAGTTTTGAAAAACAAAACAAATATCTGTGCTTTTGTATGTAATTATAATCTTTATTAAACGTTGTATTAATATTGGGTGAGTTGTGAAAAGAAATTGATTATTTGATATATTTGTTTCTGAACCATTATGGCCTTATTTGTTGGAACTTTTGTCTTGAGAAACATCTGTGATATATAGTTGTATGCTGTTCTGTATCGGAAAAGTAAATATTGTATTTTGTATAAACAAAAAAATATGCTTAGTTTTGTTGTAAACTGGGTGCTTTGATCAGCTTTTGCTGAGCTGTGGACCTAAAGAGAAGGAAGCAGGATTTGGGACTGCACTGTTTAATGTTGTAATTCAGCTTGGGGTGATATGTAAGCATTTGTAAGAGTGTTTAGTCCTGGTGCAAAAGCTGTTTTCTACTTTTTGTAGTGTTTCTTTTAAATAAAAGAGCAGATATAAAACACCTCCGTTTGCTGCTGCCTTTTCTTATTTGTCCATGGGAGATGGGTGTCACTGGCTGGCCCATCCCTAATTGCCCTTGAGAAGGTGGATTTGCCTTCTTGAACCATTGCAGTTCTTTGATTGTAGGCACACCCACAGTGCTGTTAGGGAGAAAGTTCCACGTTGTTGAGTTGACAGATGTGAAGGGATTACAATATGCTTCTCATTCAGGATGGCGAATGAATTGAAAGAGAGGTTACAAGTGGTGACGTTCCATGCATCTGCAGCCTTTGTGCCCTTCTAGGGTGATCAAGGTTGTGGGTTTGGAGGTGCTGTCAGAGGAGCCTCTATGAGTTATGGCAGCATATCCTGAACAGGGTGTACACACCTAACAGGTATTTGGAATTGGAATGTCTAATTTCTAGCCAGTGCTGTTCCATTCACAGGTATTGAGGCAAAATTTAATATCATTCAAAAACAGCCCAAGTAAATGTTTTAAGATATCAAAATATCTTCAAGCACTTCACAACAGAGAGGACATGAAGGAGAGGTTTGCAGAGGTCACTGATGTATGAATCAAAAGAGAGATTTCAAGAGCATGAGATGGATGTGGAAGGTAATTTATCTTTCATTAATCATTACCTCATCCTGACCAATCAACATCATCCATCTTGAAATACATGTGCCCCAATTACACACTGTTAAATCGTTTTGGGGTTTTGACTTCAATTTTGATTATGTTACCTGATCATTTCATATAGGCTCAAATTAGTTTTTTTTTTGTAAAATAGTGAAACAACAGTACCTTCAAGGGGAAATCATAAGCAGTTAAACTATTTTGATGTGATAGCTGACTATACCACAATGACTGTGAAGCACTTCTAGGTCATCCTGAATCAAATTTCAGATATTGCAGTCAGTATTGTTTAGTCAATTCATGACCACATATAAATATTTCAAGACACTCTTTGGTCTGTCCGAAACCTATTGGTCTTCCAGAGCAAGGAGTTGACCTCGACCAAGTCTTGCAGACTGGCACACTCCAAGGTCCAGGACTATGTGCTGAGGGACGCACTAAAGCTTGGGGCAGCTGCCATCACGGTGCAGTGGGGAAAGACCAACGTCTAATGGCTTTGAGTCATGGGACACTGCCAGTGCTTCAAATATATGTAAATAGTATCTGCAAAAATGAGAAATGCCTTGGCTTTGTTGGAACTATTAGGAGAGTCAAACTCCAATGTTTGTTTGTTCTCAGTATGCTGAGACTGTATAGAACTGAACTGCTTTAGTGATTCTGAATGTACATAAAGATTTTTTCTGAATAAAACATGTTTTTGAAATTTTTTTAAAAATCATTTTAACGTTAATATATATACTTAGAAATTAGCTCTTCTCCTGAAACAGGACAATAATTGTCAATATTTACAGGTCAACATTTATAATGTGACGGTTTTTTAAATTCATTTGTAGCGTGTGGGCATGACTGGGCAGATGACAATTTATTATTCATTCCTAATAGCTCTTAAGGTGGGGAATTGCCTTATTGAACAATTGAAGTTCTTGTGGCAATTTTGCACCCAGACTGTTAAGAAGGGAGTTCCAGGATTTTGAACCAGAGACAGTGAAGTAACAGTGTTATAGTTCCAAATCAGGTATGGTTTCAGGGGAGGCGTGCTGATGGCAGTGTTCCCATATACCTGCCATCCTTGCCCTTCTAGGTAGAGGTTGTGATATACAGTATTTCCAAGTCAGGATAGTGAGTGGCCTGGAGGGGACCTGCAGATGGTGGTGTCCCTTTTGTTTCTGCCCCTGTATTTCAAGATGGTAGAAGTTGCAGGCTTGGAAGGGGCATGCTGTAAGTAGTACACTATGTTGCCACCGTTCAATGTCCGTTGTGGAGGGAGTGAAAAGTTGAAAGGAGC